GGGAGGGGGGGGGGGGGGGGGCATTGATGCCGAACGATGCAGTTCAAGGAAACCTATCGGCAAGCTCTTTCTGTGGTGGCACATTGGCTATGGCGACCGCACCGCTGCCAAGGAATCGGACCAACAAATTGGCCCCCGCACGGGGTTGGTGCTACCTATCTACGCACGTTTCCAGCGCGTCTCCCGGCGAAACGTGACCGTGCCAATCTCAAGCGGAGCGCTTGAATTCATTTTTGCGCGCCCCCCTGTTTGGACCCCATCTTCCACCCCAAACCGTCCTTGCTGCACATGATGGGGGTAAGGTGCATTGGTGAACCAATAGCCGACTTCTTCCACTCACCGTCGATAGGAAGCCCTGTCGAAGTCGCAGCCCCTCTTCCCCTTCCCTTTCCCCGTGCGATCGCCGTCGCCGCGGCCCCGCTGCCGCTTCCTCGACTTCCCTCCAGAGTCCTGCCGTGGTTGGGGGGACGGTTCAAGGGTAGAGTGAGCCCCAACAACGACAGTAGTAGTAGTAGTCGCAAGGTGGTTTCGGACTGGAACAGCCTCTCGGAGGGTTAGCAGCCAAGAACCAGAGTGTCTTGTGCCGGACAAACGACAACGCCCTCTAACACATTGCAAAGAGTGAAACATTTTGGTTAACGTAGGCTATTGGGTGGTGGCGGCAACGGGAGAAGCTCTCACACTATTGTCTTGTCTGCGGGAGTGTTGCATAGCTGGCTCAAGAACAACTGCGCTGCCGGCATCAGAGCTCAAACGAGACGGGCGAGATGGACGAAAGGTCCGCTGGCTCAGTCAAGCAAACAGTACTTTAGAGGCACTGAGGCTGACTTTCTTAATAGGTCAGCCGGCTAGCGTGGTCCATGCCAACAAACACGCCCAACACGAGAGAGAAAGAAAGAGAGAGACAGAGAGACAGAGAGAGAGAGAGAGAGAGAGAGAGAGAGAGAGAAAGGGAGCCTCACCTGTTCCCCCGCACGGGTTCCGAAGGAACGCCTTTTCTTGCCATCCCCCGCGTCGGCCCGCGTCCCTTCCTTGCCCTCTTTCTCCAGCTGCGCCATCTGCAAGAAACGACGGGTGGCGACAAGCTGGTTACACGAAAAAATCGGTGGGAAGCAGACTTTGGCCATATCACATAACTTTAGTGATACAGGGGTCCCGCAGTCCGCACCGTCACTTGCCACTCAGCAGGAGACTCGAAGAGTCCAAGCCAGAAACAAAAAAAAAACTTTTCCTCTTACCCTGTTCAGGCGTCGGCGCTTCGTGTCACGCCTTCCTCCTTTCTCCTCCACCGGCGACACGGCCTGCGATAGCGTCGTCATCAGCCCATCCTCCTCCTCCTCCTCCTCCTCCTCCTCCTCCTCACATCGCTTCCTCCGGACGGACGGGGAGCCCCCACCACCTCCTCCTTTAAGCCGCCTACTGTTATTGTTCCGCCGCATCACCGGTGATGGCGTCGTCGCGCTACTCTCCTCCTCCTCACAACCACCGCCGGCGGAAGACCACTGGGGCAGTTTGGCCGGCGGCGCCATGTCAAACACCCTTAGCGGCGTGCCATTTCCCCCGCCGCCGCCGCCGCCGCTGCCCCTCCTGCCCGGTGTTGTCACCGCGACAGCGACGGGGACACCGGGCGAGACACCGCCGCCGCCGCCGCCGCAGCTGTCGTCCGTGTCGTCGTCAGACAGTGCAATCATCTTCTTCTTCTTGACCTCGCCCGCTTTGCACCCGGGAGGCCGGCGGCGCGACGGCATCGGACTCGGACTCGGAGAAGACTCCGACCCTTGCGGGAACGACGGCGGCAACGCTCTCCGGCCTCGCCCGGCAGCAGCCGCCGCCGCAACAATCCCGCCGAAACACGCGGGTGCGGGGCTGCAGGAACCGGGCGGCGTGGCCACGCAGGTCGGGGGCGTAGACACCCCGCGCCTCGGCCCTTCCCCGCCCTTGCCCCTCCGCTCGGCCGCGGCCGGCGTCGTCTCCGCTGCCGCCGCCGCCGCCACCACCGCACCTTCCTCAACGCGACCCCCGCCCGGCCGCCGCTCGGCGCTTTCGCCGTCCGTCACCGTGCCCCCGTCCTGATCGTCCCCGCGCCGCCGGCTTCTCCGGCGGGAGTGCGTCCTGCAGAACAGCTCGAAGGTGCCGTCGGCCTCCCGCAGGAGGAGCCCCGCGCGCATGGCGCAGAACGGGTGGTAGGCTTCCGGGCAGGAGGGCTCGGCGCACTCCACCGCCGCTCCCCCCCGGCCGTGGCACGCGGAGCACGCCAGCCGACCGCGGGCGGGGTCGAGCCCCGCCAGCGGCCCCGGGCGGACGGTGCCCGGCTCCGTCGCGAGCTCCGGGGTCCACCAGACGCAGGCCACGTGCACCCACCGCGAGCACCGCGAGAGCTTCATGGCGCCGCCCGGCTGCTTGCACAGCGCACAAGAGATGGACCGCGGCGACGACAACGGCCACCCGTCTTCCGGATCCGCCGCCGTCGCCGCTGCTGCCGATGATGATGATGGCCGCGGTCCCGGTTCGGAGCCAACGGCGGCGCCGGCGGCGGTCTCGCGATTCGAGCGGCAAGGGTCGCACAACCACGGACCGTCAGGCACCTCGGCGATCCCGTAGCAGTCGGCGTGGACGGCCGTCTTGCAGTTCCCCGGGCCGTCGCACAGGACGATCGGGTCGTCCTCCTTGGAAGTCGAGCAGCCGCACACCCCGCACGCCACGTCATCCCCGTCATCGCTCTCGCTGTCGTCGCTCTCGCCGCTGCCGCCACCGCCGCCGCCGCCGTTGCCGCCGTCCTCTAGCTCGGTGTCTCCCCCAACGTCGCTGCTATGACCGCCGCCGCTGCCCGAGGGTGAGACGCCGAGCGTAGCCTCCTCCTCCTCCTCCTCCTCTTGCTCTGCTCTCCCGGGCCAGGTGCTGCTCTTCCTTCCGTCGGCATTAGCACAGCCCGGGGACGGCGGAGCCTCCACAGCTTCCGCCGCCGCCGCTGCGGATTTTCCCTCGGTGGGACGACGATCAATTTCTTCACCAGGCGGGCTACTGCTACCCCACACGGCAGGAGCCGCAGGAACCGCAGCCGCAGCAGCGCTAGCAGCCGTACGGCCCAGGTGGACACGTGAACCACAACTGCCCGCCGAGAACGACGGGGGGGCAATAAGAGACGGAGGGGAAGGCAGCCACAGGCCGCCGGACGACGGCACCGACTGAGCGGCCGGCGCGACAGCAGCCGTCGCCGTACCCCCGGCAACCCGTCCATCTGCACTTCTATCGTTACCGATGTCGGCGCTGTTGTCTGCCTCGAACTCGTGAAGCGCCGGGAAGAGATCGCCGAAGCTGTCCTCTCCCTCCTCCTCCTCCTCCTCCTCCTCCTCTTGACTGAAAGCTTCGTTGCGCGATGACGCAACACGGCCCCCATCAACTCCTCCTTCCTCGCAAGCGGCTGCTGCTGCTGCGGCGGCAGGTTCGGACAAGGACGACGACCTCGCGCCGTCGCCTCCCGCACCACCGCCGTGGCGGCTGGCGTCCGACCCATCCGATCGCTGCCTGGCTGCGCCAAGGCCCGCGCGACCATCCACGCGCGCCGCCCCAACATGAACAACAGCAGCAGCGGGTCCGCTCGATCGCCTCGAATCCGCTGCAGCACCACCCAGCCGCCCGGGAGAGGCTGCCCCCCCACCGAGGCCGGCGCACAGATCGCGCACGTTCGTGGCGGCCGAAGCCCCGCCACCCCCTCCTGCGGCGCGGCGGGCTATCGGCGTCGGTGAGCCCGACAACGATGACGACGCGCTCCTGACCTTGACGGTGGACGCTACGGACTCGACCTCGACACCGCCCACCGCCGGGGTCTCCGGCCGGGGTGTTTCACAACGTCCCCGAGCGGGTGACGCTGACCGACCCCCTGCCGCACCTTTGGCGATAGCGGTGGTCGGAAGCTCGCGGTTGTTATCGCGGCCCGGGCCCGGCGCCTCCGGTCGCGCACCCGCCGCTGACGGCGCACCTCCGCCACCCGCCGCCGGCCGGGGGGTGTTGCACCCGCGGCATTTCAGGCGCGCGGCGCCGTACTCATTTCCGCAGGACGGGCACTGCCACCCTCCGACCGGGGTAGCAGCAGCAACGCCCATCTCAGCTGCTGCGCCGGCGCTTGCCGCCGAAGACCCGCCGCCGCCGCCGCCGCCGCCGCAAGCCGACGAGGGCCCCGCCGGACTTCCGACGCCGCCACCGCTACCGCGTACGCGGCTCTCGGCGGCTGCGAGGTTACATTCTTCGCGCTTGGCACCGCCGTCAGATGCGGCACCGCTAGAAGGGACGCCTTGCCCCTCCAGGACGCCCTGCGCCGGTCTCGGCTGCCCGCACATGCTGCACCGCCTCTTCTCCGCCTTCATGCGGCACCCGCAGCCGCACTCCCACCTGCCCCGCTCGCGGGGGCTGCTCGCACTGCTGCTGCTCTCGCTCCGGCCACTGCTGATGCTGGTGACGCTACAGGCTTGGCTGGCTCCAGCTCCGGCGGCTCCGGCCTTGCCCGCCCCGGCCGTAGAGGACTCAGCCGTGCCGCCGGCGCTAAGACTGAGGCCCCCTCCTGCTCCTCCTCTTTCTTCTCTCTCTCTTCCTCCTCCCCCTCCTCTTTCTGCCCCCTCATCTCCCCCTCCTCTTCCATTGCTGTTGCCGCCGCTGCACCCCAAAGACGGCGAGGACCCCAACACCCCGGGAAGCGCCCCCTCTCCAGACCGGGACGGGGCACCGCTTCCACCACCGCTTCCGTCTACGTCGCACGGCCGCGTGCTCGAGAGAGGAGACGGTACGGCGGCGGCGGCAGCAGCATTAGCCGAACCGCAGGCGCGACACGTCCGACGACCGGCCTTCGCAAGAACGCCGCAGTCGCAGCGCCACCGCTCTTCTTCGGCTGTCGCTTCCTGCATCCGTGCCGTAGCAGAGCCGCCGCCGCCGCCCCCGCCGCTGGCGGGGAGGCCCCGGCGTCCTGCGGGGGACCGGAACTCGGGGTCAGACTGAGTCTCCTCGTCGTCGTCATCGTCCAACCCACCTTGCCCCGTCAGGCCTCTCGACTCTTCCTGTCCTTCTCCTCGTGACGACTCGGGAATTACCTTTTCCCGAGTAGAACCCTCGTTTCTCGTAGAAGCAGCAGCAGAGCTCGTAACCCCTATCGTTTCATCCTCATCATCGTCGTCGCCCCCGCTGCACCTACCACCCGAGGAACCTCTCTTGCCCTTCTTCCCCCCCGTCTTGGGCCGTTTCGGTTTCCTCTTCGCGGTGCTCTCGCCCTTGTTAGCGGTAACGTCGCCGTCCTCTCCTCCGACCCGCCGCTCGCCCTCACGATGACGCACGGTGCTGTTCGCCATGTTGGCGCCTTCGCACGCCGTAGCCCGGGCTTCAGCACTAACAGCATCAGCACCGTCATCACTAGCAGCAGCCCGTCGCCGGGCGCAGCGCGCGGCAGCAGCAGCAGGGGGTTCTACCTCAAAGATGTCGTCATCGGACTCGGTATTTAGTGGCGGAGGCGGTATTCTACTACTGCGGCCGCCGCCGCCGCCGCCGCCGCCGCAGGCGTCGTCAGAAGCGCGAGAAGGTTTCGGAAACGTCTCCGCGTCTTCGTCCTGGAACAAGGGCGAGGTTGCCATCTTTAGCTCCATGTCGCTCGGGTCGTACACGAACTCCCACTCCTTGGAGGGAAAAGTTGAATCGAAGAACAGACATGCGGGCGAGCGGAGCGGGGGGAGTAAGTGCGGAAAAAACACAGCACAAAATGAGGGTCACCCAAAGCTGCACACAGAAGAAATAGTGCACAACGTCTGAACACACAGGCCGGCCTGGTGGCCAGTAGAGGAAGGGCAGCGAGAGAGGGAGGGGGGGGGGGGGGGGAGGGGGGCTTAACCGCTCTCTCGCTGCTGCTGCGTTTTGTCGTGGTTTAC